ATATATATATATATATATATATATATATATATATATATATACACGATGGAGAATTTACGAAAATGCATAGTACGCGAGAGATCCTACTGATTCCGGTGAATAGGCTACACTGATGCATCGTCTCCTTCAAAATTGTTATCGCAATGTTGTTTTCTTCCGCGCAATCTGCACTCCATTATGACACTTTTTCTTTACGTATTGGTTCGATATAAATTCATAAAAATAATTTTATGTGTACATTTAAAATACAAACGTACTCACAATTGTGTGTTAACTCTAAAATAAATCTTATATTTTTAATTGTGAATATTATTTATAAATTAGATACATGAGCAAACATAGTAACTTTTTTCTTTCTGTAAAATGAGCCGCGTCCATAATGAGATAACAAATATTTTAAACTCACAATACGTCTCTGGTATTATGTTCTTGTATACTTAAACCAAATACTTATATCGGTGTAGATGAAAAATATTATTGTAAGGATAATATTATTTCACTCATTTACTATGAGTAGAGTTCAAACATTCTAAACCTCTCGACCATTTAGAGATGCATGCAATTTTATCCCTTCGTTTCATTGTCGCCACCTGCCCTTCTTTTTGTACTCGTACAACCTGACAAAGAATGACTGATCCTTGTCCTTGATATTAATTATAAAAATGTTGTTGATATTATGATTTATTACCAACTGTACAATTTATCTCCTTTGTTAAAGAATTCTTCACAAATACCCATTATTAGTAACATATAAATTTAAAACACTTGTGATATTGTTTCGCCAAAACTGAGGCATATCACAGTGATTAAAAGACTCACGCCAAAAACCAGTGTCGTATACATCTCATGCTAGTCATGCCATTGTCTCTGGCTAGAAGGTCATAAGGTGCGAGTCCCGACGGTTTGCGGATTTTCAACAGTCCGGAGCTAGGTGTCAGTTGTCTGGGGAAGAATTCTAGCAGCGAAGTTCTAATTTTCGTGTTTTCTCCGTTCATTTCCTGGCGATTTTCGGAGCAGTACCGTAACAGCACCGAGCCATACACAGCACGGACTTTTCTTTCCTCTTCCCCTTCTCTCCTCTTACATAAACTCGCACACACATGTACATACATGTGCTGCACCCTCACACATATAAGGGGGACAAGTCGAAAGTTTGGAGCCTGTCCCCGGAAGGGTTGTGCTTCGCTGATAGAGCCACTGGAAGGGAAACCGTGTTGATATTACGTTTAGCCGGAGAACACATCTCCGCGCTCTAAAATCCAGTGATGACACTAATGATCAAGCAGTTAACAAGCACTTATGGCTAGAATGTCTATTCTTGCGCCCGGAAACACAGACTAATCTATGATCTATCTATCGTAGATGGTCAGTCATTTGATTGAAGAAATGTCTTAGAAAATAGTTTAGTAAATCAATTTCGTTCATGAAGTTCACAAGAGAGCCGAGATATTTTTAACGTAGAAATGAAAGGCTTCGTTCAGGTTAACGTCTTCCAAATGCCGAGTTTTGAGATACATGTCTATTCTGTGCTCTGATTTGCCGGCGTGTGTGTGCGTGCAGGGTGGTACGACCGCAAGATCATCGGCGAGTTCAGGGAGATTGTGGACGTGACGTTCGTTGGGGCCATGTGCCCCCCAGGCGGCGGCCGCAACCCCATCACCCCGCGCCTGCTGCGCCACTTCCACTACCTGGCCTTCATCGAGCTCGAGGACAACAGCAAGGTACCTCGCAACACACAACCTTATATATTTACAATAATAATGCAATAGTAATAATACATATGCATACGTGAAGAGAAAAACGTTTAACCCCTTTTTAAGGAAATTTTTGCGCACACAGGAGTGCGTGAGGTACATTATATATATAATTTAGCTTTTTCACACTCCTGTGTGCGCAAAAACTTTCTTAAAAAGGGGTTAAACGTTTATATATATATACACACACACGAGTCAAAAGGTATCTGACCCAGAAAAAAAATCCGGAAGTTTTTTTTCTCAACTGATCTATATGTTTTAGAGGGTGCTAAATTACAATTTGATGTTTGCCACCTCGAAAAAGGCAAGCTTCTGATATAAAATTGCAAAAAAAAACTAAAACTTTTTCTGTGTTTAGTTTTCTGCTTACTCCTGCAAAACTATGCGTTTTATCGAAACAATTGTTATTTAAAAACTTAAAGTATAAAAAAGTCCTAAAAATCTACACATTAACTTTAAATGTCTGAAGAAAGCAATAGGCACTAAAGCCGCTGAAAAAGGTTTACTTTTTGGACCTTTGGCCAAAGTCGGAGAGTACCTCTTTCCAGCCATCCCATCTTGCGGTAGCGCTCTATATTCACTTAGTCGTGTTTGAAAACACTTATCGTGAACAAATAATTTGAATTGTTAAATAATTAACACTCCGATACTCACGGAATTAATTGATAGGTTCATGTTTGTTCGCGCCGTATGATCCAAACTTTAGGTAACCAAAATAAGAGGAATATATTACAATTATTGCAATAATCATTCTGTATAATGCAATATATTCATCATACACTTGTACTTTCAATTTGTTTTGCCAATATGTGCCAAATTATGAGTAGAAGTGAAAATAACAGTATTGGAGAAAGTTTATGTATTAAACAAAAATATTGAACCAGATAATTTCATAGATACTTGAAAACGTCAGGAAACAAAAAATACTGTATCACGTGAGAATAAAACAAGGGTAAGAAATAAGCGGACAGAATCGATTATATCCAATTGCCAATATATGGTCTGTTTTTAAAAAAAGGGAATTTGTTTTTAACTAAGAATATTAGTTATTTCATTACTAATCAATCACTGACGTGGAAACAATAATTACACTTACGAATTAAATTTCAAATAATTATAATCCAAAGCGTGACCACGCATATTTACACATTAATCTATTAAATATTTTTTTGTTTTAATAACTGTATGCAGAGCATATATATGTTAAACCTTCGCATGGTTTAAGATAAACCTTCACTGTAATCTTGCCATGATTCATTCTCCATTGGGGCGACTCCTAGAAGTCAACGACCCGCCAGCTCCTTCCGACTGGAGGTTGGTCTCGGACAGCTCCCAAAGCAAGGCCGCAAATGACTAGCCTTTAGAAGTCCCAGCAGCGGCGCTCACTTGCTGCAGCGGTGCGCAGTCGACTCCGAACACACACACATGTCACGCCAAATTTATATGCGTACACATCGTCAATCTGTCTTCAATAGAGTGTTTTGACAATTCACAGAACCTTATTCTGACAACAATGGCAGAAACGTCTAACGAAACACATAACTAAATAATTTTATCCGATTAAATTAGAAATTGCGTATTGTAGTTCTGTTGGCATTGTGTAAACATACGTTCACATAAATTTTACTTAAGCCTCACTCACAGTTCTGGCAAGTTCTTGAGTAAATACCCCATTTTTAGCACATTACCGAGTAGCTAACATTTCGTGACACGAGGTTTCAGGTGGTGACAACTTTCAGATAATTAGGCTTTAATAAAAAATGTATACTTATGGTTAAGAAATAGAATAACGAAAGTGATAATACATGTATCTTAAGTATTTGATGCTTCAAATATTCCGATGTTTTCCGGCTTTTCGTTTTTTCCGGATTTCAGTTTTTTGTTCAGATACAGAAATATATTCAGTAGTTTAACATGCGAGTTCTTTTATACTTTTTTTGTGCTGTCTATGACCACACAAAGTAACTGTGAATAGAACAGCATTTTGTACATGAATTATTAAAAAATAAAGCTTTATCTGTTGTAATTGTACCACTCACGAAATTAATGTAATGCGATTTGTTGATGACATCGACAGAAACATCATTCCTAAATATTGCAGTTTTATTAAATTGTATATTCAAACGAGGAAAGCAATCACGCATGTCGCGTTTTGGAGGATGACATGCGGTCAGGAATGATGCATGTATCGATATCAGCTACCAACAGAAGTAGAGGACAGCATGAAGACCATGCCTTACAGTTCGAGAGTGCAAAGACTGAGAGGTCGTAGGTTTAATGCACCCTGGAAACTCACTTGGTGTGATAAATAGGTTTACACGTGTTTGTGAAACGTACTCGAACCAAATCCGTAGGTTGACGGTTCTGATCACTGTTTTTAGAGATTTCTTTATTAACGTCCACATCAATATCACAACAGTGCCCTATAACACAAGGCAACGACCGCGCGTGGTCTTTACTTTCTAACCCACTCTCCTTTCCATCCTTTGAACGGAGCGATAGGCCGATCTCCCATCCACGTTCTCATTGATTCAGAAAATCTCCGACAAGCATCGGCGATCCGAAAAGCTGTGGCAATATGTACATTTCTCCGACGCATATCATGTGTCACGTAATGAAAAAAGCGGTGCTACAAAACACATACTTTCTCGCATTAAGTCTAACCGCTATATTACACTACTAGATAAACCTGCAAAAGTGTTTTCAACCAGTAAAAATTTTTTCCGCTTAGAGATCTGAATTCAGATCTTTAGAGTAATCTTGCTGTCACTCATGCTATTATGTCACAGAAGCGTCTTGTAGATCGGGCTCGGGCAGACGCATAAAAACGTAAATTCTCACTTCATGTAAAAAAACTCAAAAATCAAAATATCCGGTTGATACTCGCAAAGCCTTAAGTTCATTCAGATCGACAACACCTGGCTGTAGTACTATAGTCTATCTTCACTGCCTACATCGACCGAAATGTCGAACTGCGACTTTGCAGAAGTTAAAGAGGAAGTGTCGTTGTATTGACGTATATTGAACGAACTAATTAGTATTATACGTATATAATTATACCTTTTCTTATGCCTGGGAAAACAACTTCTTTACTAATAATAATTGAATTCAGAAAATGATAGGAACGAGCCTTAATCACTGAATCTGATAAATTGAAATGTACACTCCCGTGCGAGAGATACTGTTTTCATCGAGGAACGAGCTTCAGATTTCATATAATAGTTTTGCTGAAAAAATAATCATCCCCACTCCTCTCGCAACTAGCATATTGAGGACTCAAGAAAACGTGTGCAGATAATGTACGTTCAATAACCAAACTCTGTACCGTGGAAAAGATCACCCGTGTACTAAAAAAGACGAAAAATGTCACATAAAGAACACGCCACCTCCTAGCAATTCTATTCTAAAGAATGCAAGGGGTGTGTGGAGGCGGGTAATGAGCTGGTGATTGCCAAATGTCTGGGCCAAATGCAAGAGCTTGTAGACAGGAAATGGGTAGGGTTCTTGGTGTCGTGCCCCTGGTCGCGAGCGAGAACTCGTAGTTTGGGCTTTCTCTTGTACATTTTTGTATTGCTTATATATGCAAACCAGCTCCTTCCGACGCTAAGCGTCAGGTATGGCTTTGGATTGTGCGATCCTAATATCACTTCAATCCCCTCCTCATTTTATCCACATATTACGGGCAATGTTATAATCTAGATAACTCACGAATTAGCCGGATAATGTCCATATTAACCAAAATGGTTTTTACCGAACAAATAGAACCATCTTCGAAACATACTTCGAATTTCACGCGGACGGGATGCACAATAATCAAGAGGTGGATAGGGTAGGTCAAGGAAGGTCTGTTGGCGAGTCCTAGTAATAATAATGTGATAAACCTGGATCAGACTGCTGTCAGAAGTCCCTACGTGATAGACGAAGCCCCTAGTGATAGACAACATGTACACGTTCATTGCGTGATTTCTATTACCATACTACTGCACCTTATGTATTCCAATTCTAAACTAAAGTAACTTAATGTAACCCTACAATATATTCGCCAGACGACAGTTTGCTAGGGAAATTTCGTTAAGACATTTTGCTAGCTAAATTTCTCTACATTTCGCTAGGAAAATTTCGCCGAGGTACGTAAAGCAATCTTGAGTCTGTGCAACACACAACTTCCAACGTATTTCAACGCTAAAATACTTCTCGCAAACACACAAGACACATCATTCTCAAGTCACTTTACATCAACCAACAGTCCATAAAGAATGTCAATATTAACCCGATGAAGTACGATATGATCCGTTCATCAACATTCGCATACCTTTATCCACACTGTTTGGCTAATGTGAGAATTAACAGGCTACTCCGAACATAAGTTATCATTTGCCACAACAGATACACTAAGATCACAATGATGTCATACAGGGTCGTATTAGTCCGAACTGGTGAAAAGGGTCAGTCTTGCCTTAAAACTCACATATTAAGACAAAATCTAAGCATATTAATCGCCAACTAGAGATTATTTTTTCTCCTGAATGTACTCCCTTTCCAGGGAAACGAAAAATTAAATTTGTGTGTTGAGTTGCGTTTTGCTAATACACGAATCCACGAAAAATGTATTTTTTTATTGTTTTTTTAGGAAAAATATCTAAAATGGAATATTTTTCTTCGCTTTGTATCCGTCGGGAGATCTGCAGTATTTTTATGAATATCCGAAAAACAAAATAAAAAGCATGCTCGTATTTCCATGAACCCATTTAAATTTTACGATGCACGTGGAGAATTGATAGAGCCGCGACGAGAAAAAAACACCACCGGCTGTTCGTCGCACGGGTGGTGACTGTGGGCGTTGCGTGCAATTTTGACCTCTGCGAACGAACCGACTCGGCGAACTACACGGGCGCGTAGCTGCCACGCTTTTCTGCAAAATGTGTCGTTGGAAGAGTCGGACTTCTTTCTCAATTACATGATAACCA